CTGCAAGATTCTGTAATGATTGTCGTGTTGAATGAATTTGGTTTTGGTTTTCAGTGTTTCCGTGTACTTCTTCAGGTTGCAGCGCTTCGTGATCACTTTATCCAGGAGAGACCATTTGACGCAGGAAGAGCCGGGGTCACTCGGCCGTCGGATTTCTTAAGTGCGTCAAGTGAATGAGTCTGACACCAAGGAGTGATGATTTTGATAGCCGTGTGACTTTGGAGAACATCAGGCACTCTGTGACACTGAAGTTACTTGACAGCATTCCTTTGTCGTTCATGTCTCCGTTGTGTCAAGGGTCCGGTTTTTGACTCGAGGTATGTTTGGGAGAAGACCCAAGAGTTCTTGTACAACCAGTGTGAATCTATGCTGAGCAAATCAAGCAATGCGATGGAAGCTGTTCAGACTCTCAACAAGATGGATATCAAGGCAGGGAAGGTAGTGGCTCTCATCGTGACTGCAACCTGCGCATATGCTCCTGGTCAGGATGTGGGATACCATACCACGGCCCCAATCGGCGGAAAGGTGTATCACATTGCACCATGGGTGGAAGGACCGCTCTTTCATTTGGGCCCCTTGTCCAACAGTTGTTTTTGTTACATGTTTTTGTCACATGTTTTCTTTGCCACATTCGAGATTCGAGGTCCCAACGAAGAGATCAGATTCAATCAGTGCGGCTTCAACCTGATTTGTCTCGCCGATGTGACTGCGGAAAGCGATGACATGTCGATGTGAGGGTGAAAATGAGCTGTGCGGAGCGGATCCCTTTTAGTGATAACACGTTTCATCACTGAACGCTGTGATTGCCAGGACTTGCCTCTCCACCAGCTGGCGTGAAGCTTTGGGTTGTGGGTTGGGTGATGGGTTGGAGGTTGGGGGTTGGGTTGGACTTGTGTTCATCATCATCATCATCATCATCATCACTTTATTCTTCTTCTTCCTCCCCCTCAGCTTTAGCATCTTAAATGAAGAAATTTGAGAGCATCTTCTTCTTCTTCCTGAGAACATCTTCATCTTCTTCCTCCCCCTCTTCTTGAGTATCAATAGCGTCAGAAACAAGAAACTGAGAGTCAAAAAAAAGTGGGAGTCATTTTTGCAAGCCCCTCTGATCAGATAGAATCATGACTAGTCGATTCGTCATCATTGAGAAGCATGAAGACGGACAATCCAAGATCAACGCTCGTTGGTGCTTGAGAGGACATCACGATCCTGACTTGTTCCAAAAGGTGCTCGCTGGGAAGTGTCATTCCCCGACGCTTTCACAGTTTGGCCAAAGCCTGATCTTGCAGATGATCGTCAGTCATGGATGGGTGATGCACTTAGGAGACAATTAAAGGTGCTTTCCTAGAGGCGGACGTAAGAGACAAGGCGTTAGCCAACCCGGTATATGCTGAACTGCCGCCGGGAGGAGTCCCAGGTATTGAGGAAGGTTCCCTTGTTCAGGTACTTGGAAATATTTACGGTGCCAACGACGCTCCTCATGAATGGTACAGTGAGTTTGATCAAATTCGACAGTTGCTTGTATGTTTGTCATGGTCCAGATGGTAAACTGCAAGGAGTTCTTGGTGCTCATGTCGACGACACGATCACAGGAGGTCAAGGTGAGGTGTATGAGGCAGCCGTAGCTAAGCTTAGAGCCAGATTTCCATTCTTTCAAATGGTGATCAGGGAAGGGTGAGTTTCTAGGGACAATTTATGAACAAGACCTCAAAACCAGACCTCAAAACCGGGGAAATTCGTTTTGGCCAGAAGGAATATGCTGAACACATCCAACCCATCAAGATCAATAAGGAACGAGCTCAGCGTCCATGGCTGCCGGCAAATAAACAAGAGATCAGCGCTTTCAGAGCAGTGAATGGTGCCTTGAGTTGGTTGAGTACCCAAACCAGGCCTGACATCGCTGTGCAAACATCTCAAAGTCAGCAATGTTTTCCTCAACCAACGGTTTTTGACCTTCTCCAAGCCAACCAAGCCGTACGTCGTGCAAGGCAACAGGCAGACTTGCAAACCAGAGTGCCCTTCATCCCACCAGAAGAATTGACTCTTTGTTTTTGGTCTGATGCAGCCTTTGCAAACACCACTGAGCTTAAGACTCAGGGGGGATGGCTTGCTGGATGATACCTCAAATAAGATGAGGCAAGGCTTAGATGTCCCAGTGCATTGCTTCGCGTGGAAGTCATACCGACTACCACGCGTATCATCGACGATGGGAGGTGAAGCACAGACCTTATCGACGGCCTCAGGAATGTGTGAGTGGGTTGCCCTCATGACTGCTGAATGTCTAGATGGTCCCTTCATGTTGGAAGAAGCAAACCAGGTCCTCAAGCGTTCCGCAATAGGCATGACTGATTGTCGCTCTCTATACGACCATTTGAACTCATTAGGGTCAGGAGGAGTCGTAGACGACAGACGAACGGCCATTGACATAGCCATCATCAGGCAGTCCATTCGTCGAACCAAGATGGAAGCTAGATGGGTTCCCACCGGACACATGTTAGCTGACGGACTGACCAAGGACAAGCTTGAGCCGATGGACCTCCTTCGTTCAGTTCCAGATATCAGCTGGCAGACGAGCAGACAGTCTTAGACCGGAAAAAGGAAGAACGGGAGAGACGCAAGAACCTAGCCGGTCAGCGAGCCAAAGCCCAAAGCCAGAAACCTCCTAAACCAGAAGAGGAGGTTTGAACACGTGTTTGCACTTGTTGTTGCTTGAAGCCATTGTGTTTTCGGTAGGGTCCGGATGGGGGAATCAATGAAAGAGTGAACATTGTGCTGATGCCGTGCCTTTTTGTTTCAGTTTTTGTGTGCAGTTGATTGTGCAGTTGAGTTTCATTTTGTGCATGCCAGAGTGAGCACTCCAAAAACCGATTTAGATAATGCAAGCATCTTGATTTGTTCAAGATCCTTTTTCTCGCATTTCAAAGTCAGCCGTGCCTTTGATTTTAGAGTGGCTTGACCAATGTCCTCATCATCTACTCCAGTGACCCCAGAAGAATTGGCACATGCCAAGGCGATCATGTCCCGAGCTCACCAATCAGGTGTGAAGACCGGCAGCGATTCGACGCAGGGCTATGTGGCAATGAATGACAGTGCCAAACGTCAAGGTGATCAGCGAGACATGGAGTTGGATGAAGCATGGGAGCCGGTCAATTACTCAGATGAGCATCAGCCACTCGAGAAAGAACGTTTTGGACACATGAGCCATGACCAGAAGCCGGTGGTTCCAGAGAAGATGGACATGTCCAAGGTTTGTCTTCCAGCTGGCGTGACCAGTCTGAAGGACTGGGGATCCACAGTGTGCCGCCTTCCAAAGGTAAGCAACCAGTCCTATTTGGTGTGGGTTCAGGCCCCATGGAAAGGATCGAGATGGTCGCTTCGGTGACTTTGCTGCCTACCTGGTGCCATTGATTTTGCCGGAAGTGTGAACCAGTCCACTGATCCTAAGGAGAGTTTTCCAGGAAGCAGCGACAAGCGAGAGAGGAAGTGAACAGAACTTGCGTAAGTTGACGTGACCTGTACGTTTGCTGTATCGATTGCTCGATGGAAAGTTTTTTTTAGTTGGTGGAGTGTGAAAGCAGTGTCAGGACGGTTATGCATTATAGGTCGGACCAGAGGCAACCTTTGCTCGAGGATCGGGCGCGGAAAAGGCCGCCGGTAGGGGGAGAGCAGGAGCTCTCGGGCGGATCGAATCGATTCGCAGTTTTAACATATATAATATATATATACACTGCATATGTACAATTTATCGGTATCATCCTGCACGCTGTTGCCATACTTGGCTTGAAGGTTAGACATGACGCTAACATACACTAAACCTTGTTTTTCTTTTTTTTTCAATCGTGCCCGGAACTTTCACAAACTTCGAGCAGTGTGTCTGGAGGCACGCTCAACTTGCATTTCGTAGGCTGTGAGACACTGTGAGGGCGCCGGGGAGGGGAACAATAAATTCTGAATTTATTGTTTGTAAACAAGTTTCTTGGTAAGGGCACATACCACCAACCAGCAGCTATTGCCATAGGGTCACAAAACTCAAAAACGCTTGCGTTCCCAAAGTCCTTTCTGGTGAACACCCAGGTCCCACCCACAGGACCCCAAAATCAAGAAACATAAGGCTTGAGCCAACAGTAGTTGGCAGTAGACTCCAGTTTGGAAAACTGTTTCTTAACAGTTCTAATTTTTGTTGCATTCCTGGCCAGGCCTCATCCGACTCCAGCAGTCCTTCCACGAGTCAGGATGCGCATGAAGACCAGTGACTTGACTGCTTGTTTGCTTGTCTTGCTTCGGCAATTCTTTTTAGTGTGTAGAACTGGCGGACGCCTAGGGGCCTAGTGGACGCAACATGGTGCGACTGCCAGACGTTCCTCCCGGACCAAAAGTCGTCAAGTAGCCCCGCAAGCGGTTGACACCCATAGAGGCATAGAAATGCTCGGTGACAGACTCGACCATCTTTTCACCTTATCTTGCGAATCAAGACTTGAAACACAAGTAATTTGCCTTATCCACCTCTTCCTTGCATGAACAACTTCCCCCGCTATGTCACGGGCAAAAAATCTGGTCCTGCACCAAACGAGTAAATACCACACTTGGAATACATTACTGCTAAGTCTCAAGCATGTTCAAGTCTAATGAAAAAAAGTTCCTTATGAAACTGTTGGCATGAGTTTTTGATTGCGTGAGCATTCGCCCCTCCCACCACATCTGAACACGTGATTGAAATTACATTTATCCAAAACAAAGCCGCGCAAAGTCCACTCAGCACAGCTAGTCAATGTGGGAATGATTCAAACGTAGACAGCTTTCAAGACAGTGGTTAAGAACTTGAGACAGCCATTCATTTTTAGGTACTCTGCCGTCGACAGGCAGCCCTTGAATCGGCAGCATCCATCCCAGCAAAAAGCACGAATCACAACTTGAAAGCTGCTTGAGGCGTGTGACTGTGCAAGCTTCTGGCCGGGGGCTTTTCCTTCAGGAAATGACTATGAAACCACTGCAGGAACTCCTCAAACTCAACACATCCGCTTCCTGCCATGATCAAGAAGTACACTGAAAAAGGGTTTGCCACTTGTCAAGAAGCAAGCACTGCAAGGACGGCCAGCATGTCATGGCAGAGTGAAGCATCCAGAACACAGCAGGACCGGGAAAACTTTGCCAGCGCTCCATCTTTGTCAACAATGTTCCACAGGGCCCGTAGATGAGTCTCTTGTAACAACCTGGGGTTCAAAAAGTATGGCCAAGACGTTTCCATTGTCCTTCGGTATGCATTAAGAGCAGTTCAGGATGCCCAAGGCTGCGTCGTTGCTCTACCAAGCCACGCATCCGCCCGGCAAAAGGCATGTCGCGATGTCAGTGCCTTGACCACCTTCTTGAAGTCTATGTAGCTCAAGTAGCCCCGCTTCTCGACATCGAAGCGTAAGAACCTGCTTCAACTGCCAGTACTTTGAGTCAAAAGGTTTGAACTACTATACTATACTGTACTTACTTACTAGCTTGGCAACCGCAGTTGTTCCCTTGTCGGCTCTTCTTTTTCTTCCGAATCTACTTCCTTCGTTGAGTTTCCCTCTTAAGCAGTCTTCACAATCTTGCTGCATCTCGGAAGCTCTCTGCGAACCTTGGGCTTCAGAAGCGACGCTTTCTAAAGTTCACCATCACCTATAAAACATCGCTTAAGCGAGCTCAAGTTCCAGAAGTGAGCTCATTCAGCCCAATGGAAACAGCTTCTCTTCCCTGTAATTGTCAAAATGCACTGTGGGTGTCATCCAAAGGGATCTCGAACTTCCGCGAGAGCTTCCGGGTCTCCATCTCAGCTTCGTCCAGCAAGACTCTCTCGCTGAACATGATTGCCAGCGGGGTTTTTCCTCAGATGTGTGACAACTAGCTCGTTGGCAAATTGGCAAAGAACCCATGAAAACTGCAACTGTCAGCAAAAATTCATGTCGTGCGGCACAGCTACGGGTCTCCTTCAGTGGAACTCTGGTCCCATAAATGGACAACGGCTGCAAAAGGCGAATGTTGCCTGACATTCTGAGAGTCGAAACGCAAAACGAATACATCAAAGATGCAATCATGAACTGATATAGATATAGATAGTCATGGTGCCCGTAGATGACCAAGACTCGTGGAATATCAGCTGCAAAAAACCTTAGCTTGACAACTTTGGAAAATTGAGCCATTTTCTCAAAAAACAACTTTGGTTGAACATCAACAACTCATAAAACATTTTCCAAGCCGCGGGATCGTCCACCAGATATGTGCAGTGTATGTACATGCTTGTCGCGTCCATCAGGTCCAGACTTTAAGCTTGCCTGGGCCACTGCGATGGCTGCCGTTGCGACATGGAGTCGTGTAAGGTCTTTTGGCCATCAACCTCCAAAACATTTATTGGCCATGAAAACCGTTGACATGTGTTGCAGCATTATTACGGCTGCTGGAAGCCGGAAAAACTACTGGCTCTCCAAAAACCAAGAACTTGGAAACTCAGGTTTGCATGGTTATTACATCTTGATAACCTTGCTTGGCTCATCTCTAAGTACCTCTTTTGTCGGACCGGGCAAACCCACATTCTAAGAGACCTGTTTTTCGCACAACCAGAATCAGAATGCGCAACAAACATTTGGAATGCGTCCCTCTTTCTCTGAGGCCTTATATAGATTGAAAGTTTGGCAACAGTTCAGGAAAGCACAAGAACCAGCAAATACAAAACAACAACTAATGAACAATATACAGACCAGAAGTCACATGCCACACCACAAAGGTCGGAGGCGGGTTAGCAGCAAAGGAAGGGAACCGGAAAACGCAGAAAAACAAAGCAAGGAAGGGAAGGGAAAGCAAGGGAGCGAAGAACGCGCACTGGAATGGAATGAAAGCAGTAACGCCGGGAAGCCACCGCCAAAAACACAAATGATCACAGTCACAAACTGTGCACACTGTGCCTGGGAAATTGCAGCTGTAGAGCGCCCCGCAACAGACACAGTGGCCATGGAGGCATCAAAGAAAGTAAAACCGCGGGAACAAACACAAAAAGCAGGGAAAGGAAACCAAACAACAGGCCGAAACTGGAAAGGACAACACACCGGAATGGAAGAAGAACAGCCACGGTTAGAAGGTCAATACCGGAAGCCATCCATCATTTCACATACTTTAATTTGAGTGATCCCCACCATGGAAGTATAGACCACCGACGGCTATATTGCCTTGACATCACCAAGATAATGTCTATCTTGCATATTTACCGGCATATACTATTGCATTCTACTGCGCGTATATACTAGCATTCTGTGCGGTATTTTTTATTGTAGCATTCTATCTGTCATTTTCGGAGGTAATTCTGGCATTCTATCTAGGATATTTTGTGGCGTTCTATCTGGCAAAACTTTTTCTGACATCTATCAGGCCCGGTGGTGCCCACTGCAATCTGGCGCTTTGACGCTTGGCAGCGCTCGCGGTTGAGGCTGAAAGCATTCCAGCCGGGAGGGTTGGGTGAGAGGACTTCGCTTGTGAAGAACTTGGGATAGTATACGCTATGCCTTTGCCATCTTTATCGGAATGGTTGCACAAGTTTGAGGTCGTGGCAGGAGGTGGCTGATTCTGATTCGTTATTTCGACGCTGGATCTCTTTGCCACCAACCTGGGAAAGAATAGCGCTCAGGTGAGTTTTCGTCTTCACGAGGCTCACGCTGCACTTCGGGTGGATGTTGCTCCTACACATCATGGGGTTCATCATTTTGCTGAAACTCTTCATTGTAGGAGAAACTGCCATCAAACTCAAAGCCGGAGGGAAAATCTCGGGATGGGAAGGCTGGTGATAGGAAACCGCAGGACAAACTTGCTGAGCGCTGAAACGGCAGGCCTCAAAACCAACTCGCCTATTCGTCCCTGGAGTTTGCTGCAAATAGGACTTTGCAGGAGCTAGGTTATTGCAGAATTTTTTCAACAAAAGAACTGCCTTCAGTGACTCTTCCAGCGCGACGGCAAGCAGAAGAAACTTTTCAATACCGCAAAGCCTAGGGGCCAGTATGACGTAGGGGCCTACTGCAGCTGCTTCAGGCGCTTTGGCAATGCCTTCCAAGTGCATGCCACCATTGGTTGTGTCTGCGTCCCAAGCTTTCTTCTCGGTCTTGTCCGCCGAGACAGACGCGTTTTCCCTTGACCAAGTTGATCATCACAAAAGTTCGTTTTTTAATCTTACTTTCTCGCCCTGAATCAGCGTTGCCAAATTTGGTGGTTTGGGTTGGTGGTTTGCTATTCTGCCAGATGTGTTTATTTAAAGAACAATATAATTTTTGACTTCTGGTGAATTTATTCTTCAAACTTGAACCATTTACAACAACTGCTGGTTGCTGTGCTGCTGCTGGGAGGGGCGCAGTAAAGTGCTGCGCCTGCCATGAAATCTGCACATGGAGGTTCACAAAGTGCTGTGCCTGCCACGAAATCTGC